CTCACCACTGACTCATGTATGGGCTCAAATATTATTGACTCATGAATATTCAGGTTCTTGGTTTCTCTTGAGAAGTCCAAGGACCTGCTCATATTGGGTCTATTCCCCTGCCAGGCAACCATTAGCGGCTGCTTGAGTACTATCCCTGTGATACTGATCTCTCTTGTCACCTGACCATGAGGCTTCATGTCAGTTGAGGTGTATCACTGGGATTGAACTGCCATTGTTTTACTTCCCCCATTTATATTACCTTCCTGGTGAGTGTCAGCACTGGAGGTGGACAGCCCTGCTCTGGTGGGCAACCCTCTGGCATCCCCAATAATAGCTACCTTTGGTCGAACCCTTATTATATGAAAAGCAGTAGACTAACAATTTTTCTTTTTTTTTTTTATTAAATGATAGCTGTGTACATTAATGAAATCATGGGGTACAGTGTAGTATTTTCATATATAATTTGAAATAACAATTTTTCTTATACCTAGTTTTTAATCCTCATAAAAAATTATGAGGCAAGTATGGATATTTGCCCCCCTCCCCCTTTTTTTTTGAGACAGAATCTTACTCTCTCACCCTCACAGCAACCTCAAATTCTTGGGCTTAAGTGATTCTCTTGCCTCAGCCTCCCAAGTAGCTGGGACAACACGTGCCCGCCACAACACCCACCTATTTTTTAGAGACAGGGACTCGCTCTTGTTCAGGCTTGTCTTTAAATCCGTGAGCTCAGGCTATCCACCTGCCTTGGCCTCTTACAGTGGTAGAAATATAGCCGTGAGCCAACGTCCTGCCCTATGATGCCAAGTACGAGCTGTTATCTTCATTTTACAAGTGTGTAAAGTAAAGCTTGCAAAGACTAAGTGATAACATTGACATTCAAACCTTGAACTCAAAGCCTAAGTCCAAATTTGGGGCATTTATACTTCATATTGCACGCTTTCCCAACCACTAAGTTTTGCAACAATAGAATTACTGCTATAATGCAGTACTTCACCCCCTTTCTCTGTCCCTATGGGGCTGAATGCCAGGAAGAGGGGCTGAGCACCAGGTAGGACTCAGGAACACAGTCCAGCCCCTGTCATGTCTTGTGGTGCATATTATTCTCTGCTAGCATCAGTCTGAGCTGTTGCTGTGTTTGTTCTGAGAGGTACAGCTGTTCTAGAGAGGTCACTGTGACTCTCATAAATTATCAGTCTTGGCATTTGAATGTGTGCGTGTGCATATACCTGAGCTGTCCTGGCGCTATTCCTGGGGAAGCTCACATAAAAGGGCTTGAGCTCTAGCCTCACAGTTCAGCTGTCAGGCCAAGGAGATGTGGAAGAGGCTGATCCTGTGGGCTGGTGAGTGGGGCAGGTCCTAGCAGTGTCGGAAGGTACCATGCTTCAGAGTTTGTCATCTCTCTGGTGCCTAAAAGAGTGATCTGGGACTTAGAGAGCATGGAATGGGACATAGTGAAGGGTCACAGGAACCTAGGAAGGAATGTTCAGAGCAGTGGTTTTGACCCTGGTTGCACATTAGAAATTCTTAATGCCTGGGTTCTACCTTGCACAAATTAAGTCAGAATTTCTAGTGGAGCAGCCAGGATATCAATACTTTTTACTTTGCAG